GGCAAGGACAGGGAGGACGAGGAGCAGGTCCTGCTTGTGCCCCGTATTGGCCCACTCGGACCTGGTTCCCCGACCTAATGCTCCTCGTGACAGCCCCTCCCTGGCAGATTCCTCTCAGGAAGGATCTACTGACTCAGAGACGGGGCACGCTGTGGCACCCGCGTCCAGACCTCTGGAAACTTTATGTCTGGTCCCTGTACGGGTACCCCAAGAGGTAGTTGACACCATCACTTCGGCGAGAGCACCGTCTACGAGACACACTTACGACTTGAAGTGGAACCTTTTCGTCAAGTGGTATTCTTCTCGTCGGGAAGACCCCCGGAGATGCCCGATTGGGGTCATGCTTTCCTTTTTTGCAGCAAGGGTTGGAGCAAAGACTGTCTCGCTCCACCCTTAAAGTCTATGTCGCTGCGATTGCTGCTAACCATGACCTCATGAATTTGTGCGAATGACCTACACCTAACCCCGCCCCTAAACCTACCCGTCACTGGTGTCTAGACAAATCATACAAAATCGTACGAGTGAGGTCGTACAAATTAGCCACCTCGTAAAATACGTATGAATTGGTTGTGAGATAGCGTTGGTGCTTTTGCTCACCTGAGACGGTTATTTTAGCTGTGGCTTTGACGGTGTTGGCTCCTCCGCTGTGCTGGTTAGTAGCCTGACAGGTGTAGAGAGCTGGTTTATGAACCACCACGCGCAGAACAGACACGATGACTTCATCCACCAGCGTCTCCTCCACTGACGCGCCGGAAATCTACACACAACAAACAAATCATATCAGGTACACCCTCACATGCTCTAAACACTGTAATGCGTTTACATTTTAGAAAATGACAATATGTGCAATATAAAAGACACAGGAGACTTTATGGGCCATTCTGCATAACTGTCCGACAACCAAAAAAAAAAAAACATTTAAAAAGCATGTAAGTCTTAATATCTTAGACGTTTATTAAGATCATTCTATTATCTACTGAAACCCACAATAATATTTAAAATATTAGTAAGCTTAATATATATAAAATCATCATTTATTGGGAACTTTCACCTGGGAGGTCGCTGTCCCAAACCCTAACCCCTAAATTTCAACTTATGAAAATGATATTGAAATATATATTTTTTTTTTTTTTCCATTGTTGTTTTTAAAAGTATAATTTTAATGATTTTAAAAAGTATTTCAAAAATATTCATTTATTTTTTATTTTATTTATAAATTATGAAACTTTATGTAAAAAGAAATGTCCCGCATTTTTCATGTCACTACCGAAACAGTGTATGTTTTAGTCTATTGGCCGAGACTGATTTTAACTACACCCATGAATTTATGATCAGGGAATATTTATGTGTCACTCTCTCTCTCATAGCTACAAGGTGTGAATAGATAGGTTCCATCATTTTGAAGTAAATGTCTTCAAAAGTCTGAAAAATCTCTGTGTAACTTTAAGGAACATCTCTACCGAATACCTTTTTCTGCAATTAAGCACACTTGTTTGGGTTATTTCATAACATTTAGTTTTTATATGTACACTGTTCAGAACTGTGCTAGCTAACCATGTGCTGATTAGCATATTTGAGCTAGGTTCAAAAGTATCTAAAATTGTCACTACTGAAACATGTCATCATTGTTTCGTAGGGAGTAAAGTGGAACACATAATCCTCATATTTGCGGGAAATAAACTAAATTTTAGTACAGTTATGCATTTTGTTTTTGTATTTTAGAAGGTTTTAGTATGTGAGTTAAAATTCAGTAATGTGATGTGGTCACAACCAAAGCATTAATGTCACTACCGAAAATGTGCTGTCACTACCGAAACATGGGATGTTTTGTCAAAAAATAAAGTATACTGAATTATCAACTAAGATGTTTTAAAATATTTTTTGGTTCAATGTACATTCAAACTAATGAATCCTTAACTTTGAAATCAGTTATCAGTATGATCAACTTTTTGCCTTTTACAAAGAAAAATTGGATTCAAAATACAAATCTCATAAATTACCCTTGAAATATTGTTAAAAATTTAATTGTTATTGATTCACCTCTGAAAAAAAATAATAAAATAGCAAAAATATATATTTACAATCTAGATGTAAGCAAAATCTTAACAGGTCAATATAACCTTCTAATTAAATTAGTATCACTGTGCTTCGGTAATGACAAATTTAGGGAGAAGACAAATATTCCAAAACTTTCTGAAAATACAATATGAGAATTAACTGCACAATTACAAAAAATGTGTACCTTGGATATTATATGATTTGCATACATATTTTTTATTTATTTTTTTTTGGAAAAAGACGTTTTCAAGGCGTCTCCAACTCTGACTTTGGGCCAATTCCGTAGAGTGGCCCATATACATTCAAGTTGGAGGTCAGCAATACTTTGATTGATTGATTGATTGATTGATTGATTGGAATTAATACTTTTATTTAGTGAAGATGCATTAAATTGATCAAAAGTGACAAAAACTTTTTTTTAAATGTTACAAAAACTCAAATCATGAAAACCATAGAAATCACAGTTTACACAAAAATATGAAGCAGAACAGCATTGATAATAATAATAATACATGCCAAATCAGCATTTCTGAAGGAGCATGTGACACTGAAGACTGGAGTAATTATGCTGAAAACTCAGCATTGATCACAACGATAAATTACATTATACAGTATATTCACATAAAAAAAACTGTCATTTTAAATTGTAAAAATGTTTTAAATCATTACTGTTTTTACTGTACTTTTGCTCAAATATTTGCCTCCTTGGTGAGCAGAAGAGACTTCTTCAAGAACATTAAAAATTATAAAACAAAATAATAATAATAATTTTACAGACCTCAAAGGTATTATAATAACAATCAAAACAATCTTCTGGCAAGTAGCCGTGCAATATAACAGCTATTAGTTACTATTACTGCTGCATTAATACAAATTCAGCTGATGTGCGATCGCAGATGTACATATAAATGGCTCATCTAATCAACTAAATTTAATAAATAAAACATTTATGATATTATCTTTAATAGCACAGAAATTATACACCCTGCAACTGGAGACTATTTGTATTTGTAGTTCAAAAGAGTCACTAGCGATCTCCACTGTACAGTATATGTGCAGAATAGAATAGAAAAGGATAGAAGTGATGGGTCACATGATTATTTCAACAATTATAACAAATCCCTCTATTTATCGTTTGGATGTGCTAAGACTCCTGCTATTTTGCTAATGTGATTTGCTGAGTTTATGAGATGATTATGAGAGCCTGTAGGAATGTCTATCACGGCTCTATATTTGACAAAGTGCTCATGCAGCTGATTTTAGAAGGCACTTCATCAGGCTAAAGAAAACTAATGAGCTGCGAGTCCTGCCAGAAACACACTCAGACAACTCATTTTATTTAAAGCGTCTAATAACATCTCACGGGTTTCAGGGATGCTTTGGAGGTCATAGGTCAAAGTTCATCTTTCTATCGTTATCTGTCTGCTCTGACAGCTCTAACTATTCATCATAATATAAATGCCTTTTATAAACTATTGCTATACATAAGATTATTAGTGAAAATAGCTCCAAAGGCAAAGACTTTGATGGTGGAGTGTTTAATGATTTGGTCTTGCAACCCAATGAAATTCTAATGTCTAAATGACAAGTAATGAGAGGATTTCAAAAATATGGCCCAGAAATACCAAATAAGGAATACATAGACAAATCATTCAATTAGCACACTGTTGATGAAGGTTTAAGTACAATTAAACCACTTTTGATGTAAAATCTTCTGCTTGGGTGCTTGTTAAACATTTTTGCCACAACATAATAATACCATTATTATTATTTTGAAATGTTTTATAGTAGGGTTATTATAGTTAGCTAACTAAAACCATAAAATCAGTTTGTTACTTGTAATAAAATAAATATCAACTGAATTAAATAAAATATAAAAGTATTTATTTATTTGTTTATGTGTGTCTGTGTGTATGTGTGTGTGTGTGTGTGTGTGTGTTTGTTTGTTTGTTTATTTGTTTATTTATACAGACAGACAGACAGACAGATAGATAGATAGATAGATAGATAGATATTTATAATATGTGTCCCACAAATACCAAAAAAGGCAAATAGACAGATTATTATAATAACACATTGTCATCAAAAGTTTACATACATTAAACTGAATTTATGTTCTTTGATGATTACAAAAAACCTTTGATGTAAAATCTTGTGTTTAAATGCTTGTTAAACATCAACTGAAATGTATTTTGATTTTAACTTGATTTACCAAAATCAAGTGTGTGAATAAATAAATAAATTAGTGCTGTCAAACGATTAATCGCGATGAATCGCATCCAAAATAAAAGTTATTGTTTACATAATATATGTATGTGTTCTGTGTATATTTATTATGTATATATAAATGCACACACATGCATGTACTGTATATATTTAAGAAAGATAAGTTATATTTATATTTTTAAATATATTTATGTATAACATAAATTATATGAATATAAATACATACATGTAAATATTTTTAAAATATATACCGTATGTGTATGTATTTATATATACATAATAAAGGTACACAGTACACACACATACATTTTGTAAACAAATTGTTTTATTTTGGATGCGATTAACCGTAATTAATCGTTTGACAGCACTAAAATAAATAAATAAACAAACAAACAAACAAAAATTAATTAATTAATTAATTAATTAAACATGATTGTGTTAAATGTAAATAGTTGAGTAACATTTAGTCTGTCTCTTTTGCTCTGAAGACATATATATGATATGTTACAAACTAAAAAAAAATAAAATAAAATAAAATAAAATCTGGTTTCATTAGCATGTATGTCAACACAATATTTATAAAATAAATACATCAAAATAAAATGTTTGTGCATAAATGAAAGCATTATGTGCAAACCTAGTGTATACTAGTGCAACCTAAAACATTCTACAACAAAAAGATCACCCAAACACAAGAGAAAATATAGCAGTTTGGTCATCCAATGGTTAAATCCTCCTGTATTTAGGACATATATGGCCTCAAGCGGAGAGATCATTCTCTGCTTCACTACTTATTGTTGTTACACATCGTGCCAAAAAAAAAAAGTTTCAACCACAGCCGCTGAGCCAAACCAATATTTATCTACAAATATCTCAAAAAATATTGTATTAAAATATGATTACTGGTATCCAAATGAAAACAGAGAGAGCACAGCTTGTTCAGAAGCCTGAGAAATCTGAATCTTGGATTTAAAGACTTACACGCTTGTTTTCAGACAATATCTTCAAGTAAGACTGATCAGTTTTCGGTTCTCTTTGTATCTGTCTACCAAAATCCACAACGAAAAACGATGCCAAATAATAAGAGCTCTGAGGTGTTTTGAATTCCTTTCTTGATCTCAATACGGCTTAAACCTTATTGCTGCTGTCCGATCAGCGGCCTGAGGAATGATTGTAGTTTGAATCCTGTTAATAGCAGCACAGACCGAAGCATCTGCAGAACGTCATTGTACTGGCAGCGCATTTGAGCTATGCCGCCTGACATTTAACATGAACACACTGAGCTCTGCTCTCTGATACAGTAAGATGAGATGAAAGTACAATTAATTTACTCCGTAGAGCCAGAGCAAGCAAGAAAAGCAAGAGAGAGGCAAAGAGGAAGGTGGGAAAGAGAGAAAAGTGAGTGTAAAGTAGAGGATTTACCGTATTGCCGTTTTCAAGCCAAGTTATGGATGGGATTGGGTTGCCAGTGGCATTACACTCCAGCGTCACCTCTGATCCGATCTGAACTTTCTTCTCCTTGGGAACTTTCAGTATCCTGGCAGGAGCTACAGGAAAGTCAATGGTGAATAAGAAAATGGAAAATCTTGAAAAAAAAATCGAACTTAAAGCACATCAAGTCATTGGACATTTTTTTTGTAGTTTGAATGCAATAACTAAAAATGTTAAAAAGTTTGTGATCAGTACGATTTTTAAGTTTTTTTTTTTTTAAGAAGTTTCTTTATGCTCATGAAGGCTGTATCTATTTGATTAAAAATACAGAAAAAAAAACTGTAATTTTGTAAAATATTATTGCAATTTAAAAATAACAGTTTTCTATATGAAAGTATGTTAAAATGTAATTAATTCCTGTGATTAAAACTGAATTTCCAGCATCATTACTCCAGTCTTCAGTGTCACATGATCCTTCAGAAATTATTCTAATATTCTGATTTGCTGCTCAAGAAACATTTCTTATTATTAGCAATGTTGGAAACAGTTGTGCTGCTTCATATTTTTTGGGGCCTGTGATACTTTTTTCAGGATTCTTTGATAAATAAAAAAGTTAAAAAGAACATTATTTATTCAAAATATACATATTGTGTTACAATATACACTACTAGTCTATTCAAAAGTTTGGGGTCAGTATATATATATATATATATATATATATATATATGTATATATATATATATTTTTAAATAGCAGTCATGCTATTTTAAATGACTGCTTATTATCAGTTGCACCAATATAATAATAATAATAATATTAAATAACTGTGTGCTCATCATGAAAGAGGTCTACTTTTAAATATTTTTGAATCAATCATTCAATGTGCAAGCATGTCATTGGCCCATAAACATAAAGTGACCTCAAAAAGTATTTGGACACTAGAGTCATACTTAAATTGTCAGAATGTCATTGCATTAGAAAACCTGAAAATGACAAGAATACTTGAATGAGTATGAAAGCTATTTTACGCCATACCTTGTACTTCAATAGTGACTGGTTTGGAGTACACGATTCCAAAACTGTTCCTGGCCACACAGCGATACTGTCCAGCGTCCTCTTTCTTGATGTTGTTAATTTTTAGGGAACCAGATTCCAAAACTGATATACGACTATTAACCTACAAGACACCAGCACACAATGACTGATACATTTTGAACCTTGTTACAGTCTTACTGGGAAAAAAAAATTGTATGTTAAATACTAAGACAAGACAATCCATTTACCTTTATCAAATCATCTTCTTTAATCCAGGATATGTCGGGTTTTGGATATCCTAACGTTAAACATGGCAACACTGCTTTGGACTCCACGATCAATGTCATGTTGGTAGGATGTCTTTTGATTTGAGGCTCTAAAAATAATAATAGTTCATTAGAGTGACCTTTACTTCACTGAAATTGATATTCTATTATAACATTCAAATTCAAACACTTCTTACTCATTTCTAATTACCACAGAAATGTCATGTGAACGCAAACTGTGAGAATGAAAATCTTCAAGCCTTTATTAAGATACAAAAACAATGGCAAGAAGCACAAACAAAAAAAACAAAGTGGAAACAGATGCTCAAAGTAGTTCTGATATAATATCCTGATGGCTGTCAGAGTTATGCGAGCACATATGTGAACATACTCATCTTCAGCTGTAAAGCTCCACAGCTCTTGGCCGGTTCTCCAATCCCATTGCTAGCAATGCAACAGTATTCTCCATTGTCTGAATCCTTTACATTGGGAATGATCAGCATTTGGCCATTTTCTCGTATAATGTATCTGGAATCATAATACCTGCATTCAAGAAGCAGATGCTTTACAAACCACTGGTAACCTGAGCACAGTTTGAGACTTTGCTGAGCTCTAATTGCTGACTATACAGAAGAAACGGTTTTGTTTTTATTTTTATGGATAGCATAGAATAAGAATCAAGTTAATTAATGAAGAAAGTTCAAACCGTATTGGGTAGTTATTCCGCGTCCATGTAATATCAGCTTGAGGGTATGAATCAACCTCACAGATGAAAGTAGCGTTATGATCCAGAGAGGCGTCAACTGTCTCAAGCAGTGTTGTGATTCTGGGTGCTGCAATAGAGAAGAAAATAAATATTTTCATTATCGGATCATAACAAAAATGATGTTAAGTTATTGTATACAAAGAAGTATTTTTTTATTCCCCCTTCAGTATTCATGTCATGAAAAAAGACAGGTCGACACGAAATGCTTTTTAGCATTTGACCCTGAATAATTATAAATCAGACATTGTAACGGTTGTGAAACTACCTTTTCACAACAAAATATTTCACATTCTGAGCACTGCTCGGCATGCCGCAGACAGCTGAGGGTCACGGGGAGAACATGTTTCTAATGGAAATAACTGTCTGAATGCAGGCCTGATGTTATCCTATGAATAAATCCAGCTGATAAGAAACACATCCCTCCCGTGACTGAGGCCAGACTGGACTTTAGGTCTCATTACACTAACAAAATTTTTTTAAAGGTCACATGGTAGTAGCATGTTTCATATACCATGATAAAACCATGTTTTTTTGCATATGTATCATGTTAATAACATGTTTTGGGAAGTGTGCCATGTAATTTTTTTTTTTTTAATCATGTTAATTCCATTTTTGGGACTCTGACCATGACAAAAAAAAAAAAAAACTTAAAATTTTATTTTATTATTACTTTTATTTTTTTTTTTGCATGTTTAACATGTTAAATGCCATTGCACACTGAGTCTGAAATTTTCGCTTGTTGGAAAATAAATACGACTTCACGTTGTGTCAATCACGTTTACACACTGCCTCCGAAACTTTCGTCCGTCATAAAAAAAATTTGGATCGGGTTCGATTTTCTGCATTTTTCGCATCCGTGGCAAGCATTTTGAGAGGTGTTTTGACAATTCAGAGCCACCGTACAAGCTAACACCAAAATCCAGAATGGCGATTGCCAAGTTTATCTACTTCGTCTCGCAGCGCAAAGCACCGTAAAGATCCTTACACACTGAGTTCACAGAAATTGGTGTTCTTCTTTTTAATATGTGGCTCTAGTATCGCTAGCAAAGCATCAAACTGAGCCACTGACATCCTGAAGTATACTTTGAATCGCCCGTGATAATCCCGCTGCTCCTTAAAGGTGCACTAAGCGATTTTTGAAAAATACTTTTGATCACAGCATCGGACCGAGTCCCAAAACACACTTGTAGCCAATCAGCAGTAAGGGGGCGTGTCTTGTAATGACAGAGAGAAGAGAGATCTCAATTTGAGTGCACAGGATGAATATTAGATCGACTGTAGATAGAGAGAGATTGCAGATAAAAAAGAGGAAAATATCAGAGAAACAAAACATTAAAAAGAAGGGTTATGATCAGGCAAGAGGTAGGACCCGCATAAACATCGGAGCAGCTTTCCAGCGGTGGAGAGAACTCAAGGAGCGGGAAGGGCTCGAATCGGACGCCGAGGTATTGCGTTTTTTATTTAAGGTATTGCGTTTCTTCATTGCGTCATTGCCATAGTTGTGTAAATAAAAATAAGGGAGAGGTCCTGTTGGGGTATGGGCGTGTTTATTTTGGTGCTTTCAAATATCAACATCGTTTAGCAAAAATCGCTTAGTGCACATTTAATAAGGAGGGGGAACTCTCCTTCCTCTCTATATCTCAGGATTGGATGGACCCAATATTTCCTTTCTTTTTCTCTTTTTAAGAAGCAAGAGGACAACAAAATCATCCTCACGGCTTGAAGACTCCATTTAGTACTGTTTTGCATAGTTGTTTTTTTTTTGCAACGGATTAATTAATACGCATCGGACTCAGTGTGCAAGGTTTCTGTACGTGATGAATTTTTAGGATGACGAATACGAAAAAATGCATACGAAAATTTCGGACTCAGTGTGCAAGGACCTTAATTCCATGTAATTCCAGGTTTTGGAATGTGGACCATGATACAATCATGTTGTTGTTTTATTTTGTGTTTTTTGCATGTTTATCATGGTAATACCATGTTTTTGGGATGTGTACCATGATAAAACCATGTTTTACAATATATACCATAGTAAATGCCATGTTTTTTGGATCTGTACCATGGTAATACCTTATTTTTGGGACATGTACTGTGATAAAATCATGTTTTTGTGTACCATGGTAATACCATGTTTTTGGGATGTGGACCATGATAAAAAAACAAAAAACAAACTTTTTATTTTTATTTTTATCATACTAGTCAAGTCACCTTTATTTATATAGCGCTTTTAACAATACAGATTGTGTCAAAGCAGCTTTACAGTATCTAAATAGGAAAATAGTGTGTCGATGCAAAATGACAACAGTAAACACTCAATTTTCAGTTAAAAGCAGTTCATCATTGAATACAGTGATGTCATCGTCCAGCTCAGTTCAGTTTAAATAGTATCTGTGTAAACAAGTCGACGATATCGCTGGAAATTAAGTGTTCCCAACTAAGCAAGCCAGAGGCGACAGCGGCAAGGAACCAAAACTCCATCGGTGACAGAATGGAGAAAAAAACCTTGGGAGAAACCAGTCAGTTAAAGGCAGTTCATCATTGAATTCAGTGATGTCATCATCCAGCTCAGTTCAGTTTAAATAGTATCTTTGCAATCAAGTCAACGATATTGCTGGAAATGAAGTGTGCCCAACTAAGCAAGCCAGAGGCGACAGCGGCAAGGAACCAAAACTCCATCGGTGACAGAATGGAGAAAAAAGCCTTGGGAGAAACCAGGCTCAGTCGGGGGGCCAGTTTTCCTCCGGCCAGACGAACCAGCAGGTTGATCCATGCTGCAGCAAAGTTAGATTGTGCAGAGGGCTCATCTGGTTCCATGGTCTTTCCCGATGGCCATCTAGGAGACAAGGTCTTCACTGGGGATATGTCTCTCGGGCTCATCTAGTTGTCCTGGCCTCCGCAGAAATTCAGGGCTGTAGAGGTCGTCTCTAGGTGCTGATCCACCATCTGGGCTGGATACGGACTGGATCTGGTGGCTACGGCGACCTCGGAATAAGAAAGAAACAGACTAATATTTGCGTAGATGCCATTCTTCTTACGATGTAACAAGAACATTGTGTGTTATTGGAAGTGTTCCCAGTTCCGGTTGACCTTGCCATTCTTCTTACGATGTAACAAGAACATTGTGTGTTATTGGAAGTGTTCCCAGTTCCGGTTGACCTAATTAATGCAGCCTAACAATCCTTTAACGGATTTGAGTAATAGAAATGTGTAAGTGTGTTATGTGTAACCCAGGTTAAAGAGATGGGTCTTTAATCTAGATTTAAACTGACAGAGTCTGTCTGCCTCCCAAACAGTGTTAGGTAGATTATTCCAGAGTTTCTGCCGCCTGCAGTTGATTTTGATATTCTAGGTATCAAATTGCCAAAGTTTTGAGAGCGCAGCTCTCTGGTTCTAGTAAGAACTCTAGCTGCTGCATTTTGGACCAGCTGGAGTTTGTTTATTAAGCGTGCAGAACAACCACCCAATAAAGCATTACAATAATCTAACCTTGAGGTCATGAACACATGAATTAATGTTTCTGCATTTGACATTCAGAGCATAGGTCGCAATTTAGATATATTTTTGAGATGGAAAAATGCAGATTTACAAACGCTAGAAACGTGGCTTTCAAAGGAAAGATATTCTAATGACAAACAATTGACAGAGCAGCCATCAAGTCTTAGAGAGTGTTCTAGGTTACTACATGCAGAGTTTTTAGGTCCTATAATCAACACCTCTGTTTTTTCAGAATTTAGCAGAAAGAAATTACTCGTCATCCAGTTTTTAATATCGACTATGCATTCCTCTAGTTTTTCAAATTGGTATGTTTCGCCAGGCCACGAAGAAATATAGAGCTGAGTA